GTTAGACGGTCTAGTCTCTCTAGATGATCTTATCTTTAACAACCTTAAATTTAAACTTATTCATGATAACAAACTTTGAGACTTCAAAAGATATTATGCTATCCTACACCTATTTTCTTATTGATTTTCACATAAAATCTTAATAAAGAGGAATTTCAATCAATCCACCAATGACACTTAAAAGAACATGCAATTATTGATCTTTCAACCAAAAATCTTCTACTCTTTTAGAGAAGACAAAGATGACATCCTAATTCAAAGTGTAAATGATAAAGATGATAAAAAACTGTCACCATTTCAAACATCTATGGACAAAATAATACATCACTCAAAACATAGTGTAAAACTCACCGTAACAATTATTTGACTTCCCCATAAAATACTTTATTGATTAGTTCTCGATATAAAAGAACATATGCAACATATTATTAATTGATTCCCTATTATAAACTAATACATTTACAAGATAAATATGTCAAACCAAACTAAATTTGAAGTGTGGGAATTGAGATAATAAAAACAATATTATGCTCTAAAGAGCAATATTAAAAAAATAAGGAAATTAAAAGGTGTCAATAGATGTGTTTGTATGCTGATTTCATATTGCCCTAGTAAAATATATTGATCCTTCAAGAGGTGAATACTCTCGTAATTTGCAAGTAAATTACTTTTGATTTTCCTAAAACTTCAAGTTAGATTCTACACATTAATTTGCGAGTGAATTTAAGTTATATACTTATGGTCATCACTCCTAAGCTGACATCTCATAAATTCCAAACGCAGTTTAGACTATAAAATCATGACAGTTTATAATAATTACATAAAACACCAAAAATATTTGTATATTTTCCCACTCAATAATTTGGAGATTCAAATGCAATACGCAGAACACGCATTCTGAACTGTAAGTAAATCACCTTCGATTATCAATGCCTGGGACGTGAAGCAAGTTCAAATCACATTGCATGGAAACAACAACACTGACGATGACTCGGTTAGTGTTCAGAACAACACCATCAACCGCACGTCGCAAACGTGCTTATTCCACATGGCAGACCAATACCGCGAACCTTACGAGCATGTTCGGCAAATACGTGGACAAAACCAGCGTCTCTAGCTGGAACACCGTCATCGCTGACCTCGCTCGAAGCGGCGATTTCATGGAAGCTCTCAGCGCATTTTCCTCCATGCGCAAGCTCTCTCTACATCCCAACCGCTCCACCTTCCCATGCGCCATCAAGGCCTGTGCCGCACTCTCCGATCTCCGCGCCGGCGTGCAGACCCACCAGCAGGCGTTCGCATTTGGGTTCGGCCACGACCTCTTCGTCTCCGCCGCGCTCGTCGACATGTACTCCAAATGCGGCTTCCCTGACCTCGCGCGCTACCTTTTCGACGAAATTCCCAGCCGAAACGTCGTTTCGTGGACATCCATGATTGCAGGCTACATCCGAAACGACCGCGCCCAGGAAGCCGTTTGCCTCTTTAAGGAGTTGTTGGCGGAGGACAGTGGGAGTGCGGAATCTGAGTATGAGGCTTTCGTGGATTCCATGCTTGTGGGGTGTGTTCTTTCGGCGTGTTCGCGGGTGGGGTGGAGGAGTGCGACTGAAGGGGTTCATGGGTTGGTGGTCAAGAGGGGGTTTGAGGGGTGTGTGGGTGTTGGGAATACTTTGATGGATGCTTATGCCAAGTGTGGAGAAATGGGGGTGGCGAGGAAAGTGTTTGATGGAATGCATGAGAGTGATGTCTGCTCTTGGAACTCTATAATTTCTCAGTATGCGCAGAATGGGTTGTCAGCTGAGGCTTTCTGTGTTTTTGCTGACATGGTGAAGAGTGGCAAGGTTAAATATAACGAGGTGACATTGTCTGCGGTGTTGTTGGCCTGCGCGAATTCAGGAGCTTTGCAGCTGGGAAAGTGCATACATGACCAGGTGTGTTACTTAATGCACCGGTTCATTTGGTCTTTAGACACCGATTTACATTTGGTGGTTACTTGAAAATTTTATATTTTGGTTCCTACCTGATGAAATTGTTTATACATTGGTCCTAACTGCTTGTTGAAGTTATCATGATGTTCGATGTTTTCTGAGTTTGTAAACATTTTATGACGAAATTAAATATTTAATTGACAAGTGTTTGTCAAACACTGCAAACATCTAATAGCATTGTAACTGTGGCAAAGGACGGGGGCGGCAAATTTGTTGTAATATTTTTTTTTTGGCTTAAATTCACTCTTGGTCTCCATAGTTTTATGAATGTGAAATTTTAGTTCTTATAAAATTTTGATTGCTAGTTCGATCTTTCAGTTTTTAAAATTGAACAATTTTTGTCTAAAGTTAATATGTCATCTAATTCTAACAAAAAATAGTGATGTGTCTGTTAGCGATAACAGGTTTTAAACCTTACCGTTGATATCCTATTTGGATAACTAACTACGCTTTTTCACCAACCATGCGTCAGATTTTTTTTTAACAATTAGATAACATAATAGTAAACTAGAATGGTTTATTTTGAAAATTTGAAAGTTCAAATGAGCAATTAAATTTTTATAGAAACTAAAATTGTACATCCTTGAAACTATGATGAGTAAGAGAGATTTATGCCTTTTTTGTATAAACCAAAGTTATGAGTTTTCTTCATTTAATAAGGACCAAAACGGAAACATGGTGTAAACTGTCCAAGTTTAGGTTCCAAATTTTAATTTATTTTTGTTCCAATTTTTGGTCCTAAAATTGTATTTATGTATGGAATAATTAGCGAGTGCCTAGATTTTTGTTGGTCTCACCGGCTCGTTTTCTTGTACTATAGGTTATAAAGATGGATATGGAGGATAGTGTGGTTGTAGGTACATCTATAGTGGATATGTACTGCAAATGTGGGAGAGTTGAGATGGCTAGGAAGGCATTTGACCGCATGAACATGAAGAATGTTAAGTCATGGACTGCTATGGTTGCTGGTTACGGAATGCATGGCCGTGCAAAAGAGGCTATGGAAGTCTTCTACGAGATGATAAGATCTGGAGACAAGCCGAATTACATTACTTTTGTGTCAGTTTTAGCTGCATGCAGCCATGCTGGTTTGTTAAAAGAAGGCCGGCATTGGTTTAATAGAATGAAAAGTGAATTTAATGTGAACCTGGTATTGAGCACTATTCTTGCATGGTTGATCCCTCGGGTGTGGCTATCTTATGAGGCTTATCGTTTGATCCTGGAATGAAGGTGAAACCTGATTTTATAATCTGGGGTTCCCTTCTTGGGGCTTGTAGGATTCATAAAAATGTGGAACTTGGGGAGATCTCTGCTAAAAAACTATTTCAGTTAGATCCAAGTAGTTGTGGGTACTATGTTCTACTCTCTAATATTTATGCTGATGCTGGAAGGTGGGATGAAGTTGAGAGGATGAGGATATTGATGAAGAGTCGTGGGTTGCTTAAAACCCCTGGATATAGTATAGTAGAGCTCAAGGGTAGGGTACATGTATTCTTAGTTGGAGACAAAGAACATCCTCAACATGAGAAGATTTATGAGTACCTAGACAAATTAAATGTCAAGCTGCAAGCACTTGGGTATATGCCAAATTTGACCTCAGTTCTTCATGATGTTGATGAGGAAGAGAAAGGAATGGTTCTAAGAGTTCATAGTGAGAAACTAGCAGTTTGCTTTGGAATCATGAATTCAGTTCCTGGGTCAGTGATCCATATCATAAAAAATCTTAGAATTTGTGGTGACTGCCACATTGCAATTAAATTTATTTCCAAAGCAGTAAATCGAGAAATTGTTGTCAGAGATTCTAAGCGGTTTCATCATTTTAAGGATGGTATGTGTTCATGTGGAGACATACTGGTGACAGCAATTGAAATAATGGTGCCAAAATCTATGGTGGAGGTTGTGCATTATGTTATCACTCTTACTAGCCGACATGGAGCTATGAAAGTGCATATCTATCTTAAATAAACTGTTTAATTTGATTTTGGAGTGAACAGTGGATCCATTAGATCCAGTTATTAGGATAATGGAAAAAAAGGCAAATGATCTTTTAGTGACTAATACTCAGTTTGAATGTACAATGTTATAGTACACATGAGATCACCGTAGAACCAACTGCAAATAACATATGTGACTGTTTTTTACTACATGCCTCAAGACATGTAAGTCGCACCTATAGTATGTCGGTAAGCGTGCTCACTTAGTTACTAAAGGAAAAAGTATATCATAACAACGTTCTGCAAAAAAAAATTCTGAGTGTCGATTGCTTGCATAGAATACTAGATTTTGAAGAGCTTGCCTGTAGATCTTCCTCCTGCTCTTGAAGTCTGTGGTTGATCACATTCTGAATCAGCATTGGAGTGGGTTAAAGAAATCTGCAGGGCCCTGTTCTCAGTCTTCAAAGTTTCCACCTTTAGTCTAAGCCTTCTGATGGTTTCTCTCTTTTCATCATTTCTTTGGACCAGCAGTAGCAACTGGTGCAGATTGTCCTGTATAAGTTTTGTTTGATACTTTAGTGTCGACCACAAATTGTCACATTTGAAACTGATCATTGGAGGATCTTCAGTTCTCTGATGTAATTCCGAATCGTCAATCTTCTCTTCAGTGGTTGAAAATTTTGTCATTCTGTCCTCCATTTGAATATTTCTGCGTTCTGGTTTTAATTTCGTGCTGCATGTGCCTGCTGATAACAGTTCATGGCATTCATCTCCTTGCTCGTTTGAAAGATCAAAACCAAGGATACTACGGTCAATTTTGATATTGGAGTGCTCCAAGGAACACATTCATCTTGGGTTTTTATCTCCAATTTACCTATGTTGCTCTTTTATTGCAGATAGAACAAATGGTTCTTGATGTACCAGAAGATGATAAAGATCCAGATTGGAAGGTACCCTGAGAGGTTTTTAACTTAAGTTGGTTATATGCTATGGCTAACACACGGTAAGATTGGCCAAAATCTTCAAGCATCTCTATGAGATCTTCTCTCCATTCGCAATGCATGAGTTCTTTTGGAGAATTGTCACCATCTAAAATGGTCTTCATAGCATCCAATTTCTCATCCAAGTCTAAAAAGTTATTAAAATTCAGGTGTTTGTGAGTATATACCGCAGAAACTAGGTTAAGACCTTAGTATATTCCAATAATGTTTGTTTGACTTTGAGCAACTCCTACAGGCAATAAATAAGCCAGAAATCCCAGATTTTAAACCTGGAATTTTGGTTAAGAGGGATGTCCCTGTGAAGAAGGATAAGGGATTTTGAGGACTAAAAATATTACTACTTGATAATTAATGTGCAATATATATTCCAGGTGCTCCTATTGAACCTTTTCTGAGAGGACAGTTTCTAATCTAGTTATGAAATCGCTTCAAAAATGCCTTTTTTCTAGCCTCAGTTCATGTCACCCCCTCCCTCTTTCAGTAGTCAACTTCACTTTCTACAACTTTATAATATGCTTTTTAATGCAGAGTTGAGTCAAAGAACGCGCAACAAGTTAAATTATGGAAATACTAGTTGCACATATATTTAGTCTGCAAAATAGAACTTTTACACCTCAGCAAGCATGCATGTGTATGTATATCTGTATGAGTATGAGTGACTAAGATAGAGAGAACCTGATATGGTTGTTTGAAGCCATTGAGACTGATAGATAGGAGCAGAACTCCATGATTCAGGATCTTATTCTCCATGGTCAAATGTTTCTTCTTCAACTCCGAGCAAGATAATTTATTAGAGGAGAAACGGTGAAAAGGGTAAAGTGTAAGGAAACAAGTAAAGTATAGAATTTGAAAAGGAAGATTTATGCCATGATGGACTTTGTATATTGCAGCAGACCAAAGTTAAGCAGATTCTTTAACAAATTAGAAAGCATCCTGTGGCAGAGTTCTATAGTTTCCAATTTCCTATTTTAACTCAAAAAATTTGGTTGACTTTTTATAAACCATTTCAATAATATTCATTTATTTAAAGCACACGTTATTTTGTAATGACTATAATATTGACAGTTCAGCTGTGTTAGTTTGCAGCATAATAAACAATGGAGTAATCTTTGGTCATAATTAATCGTACCTAATATGTAATTTATTTCAAGTTCTTTTAATAAAATAATAGGCAACGTAATAACTGTGAAATACACTAACATGCCATCCAAAATAACTATTTTAAAAATCATATCATATGAATAGTGATTTTTATTCGGTAGGCTATTAAGATACATGAGATCCCACTGCTCTAAACCATAAGCTTTAGGCATGATTAAAAATTATTTTTGATTTGTCATAAATAATTTGGAATATTTATAAAATATTTAGTCAAAATTACTTTGTATATTTATAAAAGCTTTAATCCTTTATCATGTTTAAATTATTTAATAAAATTAGTATGATATTTTTACTATATTAATGTTTCTAAACTCAGAACAAAGCATATTTGTTATGATTTTACGAGAAATTAAACGATTTAATGAAACTAATGTGATATTTCCACCGTTTAATACTTTTTTGTTAATTCGTAGAAGTTATATTTTAATTTTAATTTTCATGGAGATTATTAGCACGAAATATAGCAAGAACTTTTTTTAAAAAAACATTTTTTCTTTATAATGATATTTTCTTGAAAGAAAAATAAATCAAAGGCAGGAGATAATCATTAGATTTCAAAAGATAAGTTTTTATTTTTTGTCTAAATTGATTGAAAATTATAAATCGTTGGAAATCATTTCTTATTTAATAGTGTAACTTTCAATATTTTTTTAATGATTTTGAATAAATAAAAGGAAATATATTACAAATAATATATAACTGTACATGCCGCAATACTTCTCTTATATATTGGAATGTTGTAAATGTAAACTTATAATAAAAATTACTAAATATTAAGATTTTTATTATATAAATTTAGACTTGTTACACCGGTGTTGAATGTTAGAGTGAAAATTAAAAGTGTATTTATTTAATATTTTTCACAAATTAATGAAATCTAAAATTTAACGAAGTTTTTTAACATAAATAATTTCATAATTTTATTTTTTTCAGTTTTTAAATTTATTTTACATATAAAAAATTTTCATCATTTTTAGACTTTAATTAATAAATTAATATACTTTTTCTAAAAAAAAACATCTTTGTGTTAAATTATATATGAATAAAGGAAAATATCTATAAAATAAAAAATTAATAAACGTAGCAAAAAAGGACATGGGAGGAGAAAATAGAAATAATGTATTGAGACCCAATTAATTTTTTGCTGGAATATTCATAATTTTATTATTTAATTAATTATGTTTAGAAAAATGTTCCGTATATGCTAGGTAGTACATTTTTATTTATAGAAAATGAAAATTTTCATCTTCTATTTTTCTCTCTCTCAAATGAGACCTCGGTAAAACATTTTATATCACCAAATGATTTTTCATAGTTATGTGAGCAAAATCTTTAGATTTTTTCAAGATTATAGATCATAAAAATTTAATAAGATTCTAAATAAGTATGATTCTTATTATTAATGATAAAAACAATTGTTCAAAATTGTCATCTCTTTGTTTGTTATATTTGGAGTTCTCCATAACATTAGAACGTTTCCATTCTTTTTAAAGGTAGAAAAAAAGAAATCTTCATTAGCTGTTAGAGTTAAAAAACTACTTCTCATGTTGAAAAAGAAAATACTGTTTTACATTTGTGAGTACCAACTCTTTTGAACCTCTATTTTTATCAAATACAAATTATCTTTAATAATCACTCCACTAAATTTATTTCAAATTTAATTCCTAATTATAATGAAATTATTTATTACTTTATAAATTCCGTGAAATCATCTTACTCTTATGTTTTATTTATACATATCCCTCCGTATCTTCAAAGTCAGAAATTTTCTTATTTGATACAACATTTTAGAGAAAATATTGTATTTTGAAAAAAAATAAATGAAAAACTTCATGTTAAAAAATAATTAAATATGAACCAAAATTATACAATTAACAAATTAAAAAAAATGAAAGATAGAATAAAAGAATAACAACTATATAATTTTCTACGCTAAAATATAACGAGTATTAGGGTTAATATTTTTTTCATACCTGGTTCAATAATTAGCAAAATGAAGTGATTGAAACTCTATAATATTACATTTTTCAAACTTAATAGTCATGCATGAAGTGGTTGGGATCACTATGTGGATGTGTTGTTGTGAAACGAGAAGAGATGTGATGGAGTACTCTGTGTTGTGCTTTGCAAGAAATAAAGAACACAAAAGAGGAATGAGAAACACAAAACAAAGAATGAGTGAGTGAGACATGTTGAGATTAAGGCCTTTATTATCAAGAAATAATGAGTCATAATATAATAAATGCATATGAAACACCAAGATATTTTCACCAAACGCAAGTATAAAAAAAATTGAAGTGTCTTATAAAAGTAACAAGCATAAAAGTGAAAAACACATTAAAACACTAGAGTGAAAACTTTTCCCAAATGACATAAGTTTTCAAAAAATTAATAAACAAAAGATATGTTCACACAATGATGTTTCAAAAGGGATTTATGAAAATGTTTTAAGAAGAAAAGTGATAAAGCATAAATTTTATATTGGTTCACTCAACTTAAACTACGTTCAGTTCTCCCTTAAGATCTCTTAAGAGGTTCGACTAATCTTTAACAAGTTTACACAGGTTTTACCTCTCCAGGTTTACAATGAGTATTCTCATCACTCCTAGTTCACCTAGTCAACACGAATACTCCGAATTTAACCACTCTTGGTTTACAAGCATTCTAACTACTTCTAATCTCAACTCTAGCAACACATCTAGACTATTTAACTCAATTGAGCTAAACACCAAATGTTTTAATTCTTTTCAGAATTTACAATGTAGATAGTGTTATGAGCAAAGGTACATATTGATAACTATTAATGAGAGGATAGAAATAATACAAATGAATATGATATTTGTGTTGAAATGAAATGTGTATCTCGCACTAATGTAGTATAGGGAATAACCTCGGATCAATCAAAGGACTTGATTCTTATTAAGTTTCGAATGTAGAGTAAATCCTAATTTTTTACTAACCAAGCATTTCCTAGATACATCACCTAATATATTACAATTTGCACATGAACTAGCTGTAAGAATGGTAAATGCAAATTTAACAAGAAATGAAAATACAAAGCTGAAACTAGACTTGGTCTAACAACACTAAATTTAACATATCTCAAGAAGGCCTCTTGAAAATCTAGGTCCACTTTGAGGTCTTTTGACATCTAAATTAGATGCAAACTATTTATGTTTTCCTTTAAGACTCTCAAACAAAATCCAATTACCAATTATGTATTTTTCCCTATTCTAAACCTCTAGAATGAACTTAGCAAATTGACTAACCTATCTTCAATCCAATAAAACATAAATAAGGAAAACTTGAATATTGGAATTAAAGTTACAAAATGTAGTGGACCATGAGAATAACTTGGCGAACCAGGTTATAAAAATCAACCTATTTTTAAATGATAGGCTAGCCGATCTGACTCATTTTTTTCGAACCAAAGTCAAATTAGACTCAAATAAATCGAATCAATCTGTTTTGTCACCTATTCTGTAATAAATAAATTTTTGAACTAATTCCATAATGTTTTTCTATATCTAATAAATGAATTTTTGAACTAATTCCATAATATTTTAAAACTATACAAATTTTAATAATTTGTTATTTTTACAATAATATTTTTTAAGTTTAGAAGATACCAACTTCACTTCAATTTATCTTTCTAGAGAAAAGATAAATAAAAAACAATTTGATATCATTATCTAATCATAAATCTAATTATTAAAGCTTTAACTTTTCTATTTCTATTGTTAATAAAAAAACGCTTTTCTAATATATCAATTTATTAAAAATAATAATAATTATAAAAACTAAAAATAATAATTATAAAAATTAAAAATATTATATATGTGGCTCAAAATCTTAGCGCACTCATTTTCTCTTGATTTCATTCCCCTATATTCTCTCATTTCTAAACTATTACTGTTCCATTTCCCAGAGTGTCAAGACGGTAATTCACATAGGTTGGTGGGGCCATTCTCTCTGAACAAAAACGTCACCACCAATATAAAGTAGAGAAGCCGAAAACTTGGAACCAAAAGCAGCAGTGGCATTGGAAAAATATAGAGAGAGATCCTTTCCTTCTCTCTTGCTTTCCTTTGACGCTTCTGACCCTTTTCCCTTCCAAAACGCCTTTCTGTTCTCTTCTCTGACCTAATGGCTTTCTCCGACTCTTCTTCTGGCCGCAACTCTCTCATCCCCTCCTTCCTATACTCCTCGTCCTCCAAGACGCTTCCTCTCCACCGTATGCTCCACTCCACCGCCGCCGCCGCCCCACCCTCGGCACCGCCGGCAAACCTCGATTCTGGATCGCGCGGCTTCATGATTCACTCTCCCAGCGAGTCACGTAAAATCGAGCTGTACTCTCCCGCCTTCTACGCCGCCTGTACTGCCGGTGGAATCCTCAGCTGTGGCCTCACTCACATGGCCGTCACTCCTCTTGACCTTGTCAAGTGTAATATGCAGGTCTCTCTATCTCTCTTCCTGTCTCTGTATTTCTCTCTATCTCTATATATTTGTTTATCTCGATCTGACTTGTTGTCCTTAGATTTAACCGTTTTCGCTCGATTGTGTGGTGTTTTTGCCACTTGTCTTCGTTCTTGTTAGATCTGCAGTTTTCTTTGAAGTATTTTCCGGTATCAAGTCGTGATTGTTGTGTCTTAGTTAATTAGATCTGCTAGGTCTGGCTGTTTGTTTAGTTGAACAATCGTTAGCCTCTTATGAAGTGCGGATAATTGGGTGAAGGACATAGAAGTTGGTACATTATGAAGTGCGGAATCTGTTATTAGTATTGTGATTGTGTTGTGACGTTAAGGATCCAGGTTCTCTAGAGTAGGCAATCTCGGTGGTTGATAATAAAATTTAATTGCTGATATTGCTTGCACTGCACATGAATAGCATATTATGGATTTGTTGGAATATCAGGAGTTAGTTTTCTCATAAACAATTGATGTTTATTGTCTTTGTTTACTTTAGAGGAGACTGGGCTTAAAGTCAATATCTTGATTATGTGCATACCAGTGGAATTGAAATTGGAATTGCTTACTTCTTTTTACTAGTATTTGTGTTTTAATGTTTACTTGTTGATTTCAGATCGACCCTGCTAAGTACAAGAACATCACATCTGGATTTGGGGTTTTGCTTAAGGAGCAGGGCTTCAGGGGCTTTTTCCGTGGTTGGGTGCCTACCTTGCTTGGTTACAGTGCCCAGGGTGCTTGCAAATTCGGATTTTACGAGTTCTTTAAGAAGTATTACTCTGATATTGCTGGTCCAGAGTATGCTAGCAAGTACAAGACCTTGATTTACCTTGCTGGTTCCGCTTCTGCCGAGGTTATTGCTGATGTTGCTCTTTGCCCCTTCGAGGCTGTGAAGGTCCGTGTCCAAACACAGCCTGGTTTTGCTAGGGGGTTGGCTGATGGGCTCCCAAAATTTGTGAAATCTGAAGGAACTTTGGGGTATGCTTACAAATACTGTTAACTCCTATAATTGTTTGGTAGAGGATGCGTTTGAAATCATAGTATGTTGGTCTATGATTGGATTTAAGATTAGGATGTGATCTATTGAATGTCTTGTGATTTCAGGCTGTACAAGGGAATAGTGCCTCTGTGGGGACGACAAATTCCATGTAAGTTGGCCATTATATAATTTGCATTATAGTTTTTAGTGCCCCTAAATTTGCTGTTTGTGCATTGTTCAGTATTTCTTGAGATGCTGGACTACTGGTTTTTATTTGTACTTCAAGAGTTATGCCCTATTCTGGGTGGTTGCAAGTTTTTGGTTTTCAACACCAATGTGAATATTGGTGTTGAAGTTAGAAATTTTGTGCTGTATTGTTTGACCTTTGTTTTATATACGTTAACTTGGGAACTTGGTGGTATATTAAAGGTCCCGGTACCTGAACTTGTATGACATAAAAAGTTCTTTCCTGCAGACACAATGATGAAGTTTGCTTCATTTGAGACCATAGTGGAGCTGATCTATAAGCATGCCATTCCTACTCCAAAGAATGAGTGCACCAAAAGCCTGCAACTCGGTGTCAGTTTTGCTGGTGGATATGTTGCTGGTGTGCTTTGTGCAATCGTGTCTCATCCTGCTGATAATCTTGTCTCTTTCCTGAACAATGCTAAAGGAGCAACAGTTGGTGATGTGAGTGTCAGACTTGGAGCCATTGTTGTGTAGTTGTTTCTAACAATATCTGTTCATCTGTTTATGTCAAGTTTCTTTAAATGCTATGTACCATGTAATGCAGGCGGTGAGTAAGCTTGGTTTGTGGGGTCTCTTCACCCGTGGTCTTCCCCTCCGTATTGTGATGATTGGAACTCTTACTGGTGCCCAATGGGGAATATATGATGCTTTCAAAGTCTTTGTTGGGCTGTAAGTTTACACAATTGCTATTATATGATAGGGTTCTACACTTTGTTATATGTTTCGTTATTTATATGATGTGCTGATGATCATTTCCTCAACTTCCCAGGCCAACAACTGGTGGTCCTGCTCCTGCCGCTGCTCCAGCTCCAGCTCCTGGTTCTGACCTAGCAAAGGCGTAAAATGTCCAGTGATGACCACTTAATAGTTTGTTTACGAAAGTTAGAAGGCAGTGAATAGGGACCATAAATAAACAGATGACTGAAGTTGCTTGGGTGGAACTCAAGCTTCGTTGGATAAATATTCTTTTCAAGTTCAGACATTGTTTCCATTTTATTGTATGAGTATGTCAAGTTTTTGGGAGGATGGTTTTGCTCGCATCCTTCCCGTTTTGAGAACTTTGTAGCTAGGAATGATATAATTTATAGCATGTTTGGTTCGCCACATGCCATTGCCAACCGGGAATACACATTTGTTTTGTTGTCAGTGCAATAAGCACAGACGCCTATGCAATGCCGAGATTGAGATAATTTTTATTGTTTGTTGCCTGGAAATTGTCAAATTACGTTTTATATTAATTCCATACCATACATAAACTCTTGCAATGATCGTTTCCAAACTAGATCCTGAAACAGTACTTTGTTGACTGGTTCTGTTGGCTAGTGCTAGATTTATTATATCTAGGGCCGTCAAGCCTAATTTTTTGGTAAAAACATGGAAAAGTAATTGGTCAAATTTGTCTGGTTGGGAAGATGGTTGAACAAAAGAAATTCGTTGGGGTTGTTGGCTTTCATTATTATTTTTCATGTTTTTACTATTATAGTAAGTAGTTTTAAGGTTTTGTTAAATTTTTATTGCAACAACTTTAAAATACCTTTTAATTTTAGAGGTGAAACGATTACGTAAAATTTTGTTATTTATTTTTCAAATCTAAATAATCAATAATTCTTTTTTTCCTATAACAAAAAGGTTTAATTGCAACGCATTGATAAATTATATTAGAATCACCAAGGAAATGCTCACGTATATTTCAACAATGTTCAGGGTTCGTCCATTTCACAAGTAGTGGTCGACTTCTACATTTATTATGAATTTGAATAGATATTCTAAGTAAAGAAGCTAGTTTTTCACAACATAGTAACTGAAGGTGTAAATTTTACTGGAAGACTTGTCAACATTTAGTACTTAACTAATTTATTGTGTCTGCAACATTATTGTCTTAAAGAAATGACGATATGACCTCAAAAACAAAATTACACGTCAAAGTTAATATATTGCAAAAACTAAGTTAATCTTATGAACGTTAGGTTAAAATTGATGAACATCGACCACTGTGTTATATGCCTTCGAAAATTAAGCATTAAAGAAACTCATTCCTTCAAAACTATGTAGACTCGTCTTAATCACTTGTAACCATCATTGTAACTCCACGACCATAAACTAGAGATTAAATCGGTATTTATGGAAAGTTAGACCATTCTTTTTGGTGTGCATAATCGGGTTGAATTCCTTCTCATAAGCATAAGACCAAAAAAAAAAATATTAACAGAAAATCTTTTCTATTCAGCATCTTAATGAATGGATAATTTGCATTTCAATTCCTTTAGTACACTTCATAAGGAAAATCATTAATTGAATTCTAAATTGAAAGGTTTGTGTGAACTTATTGATACAATTATGCACTTCTCAAATGTACATTTATTTTCTAAAAGAACCTGGATTTTTGATTTGTTGGGTTTTCAAAGTAATTTTGATGACATTATGTAGAAAATATATTATTCATGTTAGAGAACTGTTAGGATATGGGGTGGTAGGGTATAATGGGTAATTGATTTAGGATAGAAGTAAAGAGCGGAAAAATTTGTTAGGCTGTTAGGGGAAGAAATAGAGTATAAATAAGACTTTTGGTAATTCTGTTGGAGGATTATTGAAGATTATTTTGTAAATCTGGACATTGGCCAGAAAAGGTGGATTAGGCCTCCATTAACACTATCAATGTACTTTGTTCTCAATTTCAATACATAAATCCATTCTTTCTTTGTTCTTTTGTTGACTGAGAGCGTTGATAGTTAGGTTTCCAACCCAGGAACCTAATCCAATGAATGGTCTAAAGCCAATTACGAACTCAAAAAAATATCAATTAACTCTATTATCCATGATTTGATGTGATGGTGGGATATGTTTAGGTAGTGTGCTATCTAAGAACGTGGGGATTGTAGTGTCGTTGTAAGGAGTAGTGTGTATGGTGTTCCTCCTAATATGCATAGAATATAATTTGACAGGAAACTTTTAAATTGTTTTTAGTCATATTAATAATCTTTCAAAACATTAACAAAAATATATATTTAAATTGATAAGTTAAATATTTTTCCTAAAAATCTCACATCATCAAATTTTCTTTTCAAAAAGCTTTTATGGTAAACATTATTTTGTAGGTCCATTAATCATAATTTTTTATAAAAAAAACTATTTAATTATGACATAAAAAATATTGAATTAGAATAAATTTAAATCTTACAAAAACTATTGAATATATTAAATTTGTAGAGGTTAATGAAAATATACTTAGAACATTTGGAGTTGTAGAATTGATAAACATTGTAGATCAATACTAGTAACAATTTCAAAAGATTCTATATGACAGACTCTACTAGTCATGCTTATGACTTTTGGAGGAATATATAATTGTATAGGTTGTTACCTCGTAATCACTAATACTTAAAGTCATTGAAGAGAAAATATTTTGAATGGATAACTTTTACTATTTTAGAAGAGTATTTCTCCCTACACTTTTCTTTTTTTATATTTCCAACTGTACTTCTGTCAGAGAATCTTTTGTTTTTAAAAAAGCTGACCCATTCAATAATAAAAATTAAGCAACAATCCTTCCTCCTCTGCCGCATTTCAGATTTGCAAATCCNATCTATTGAATGTCTTGTGATTTCAGGCTGTACAAGGGAATAGTGCCTCTGTGGGGACGACAAATTCCATGTAAGTTGGCCATTATATAATTTGCATTATAGTTTTTAGTGCCCCTAAATTTGCTGTTTGTGCATTGTTCAGTATTTCTTGAGATGCTGGACTACTGGTTTTTATTTGTACTTCAAGAGTTATGCCCTATTCTGGGTGGTTGCAAGTTTTTGGTTTTCAACACCAATGTGAATATTGGTGTTGAAGTTAGAAATTTTGTGCTGTATTGTTTGACCTTTGTTTTATATACGTTAACTTGGGAACTTGGTGGTATATTAAAGGTCCCGGTACCTGAACTTGTATGACATAAAAAGTTCTTTCCTGCAGACACAATGATGAAGTTTGCTTCATTTGAGACCATAGTGGAGCTGATCTATAAGCATGCCATTCCTACTCCAAAGAATGAGTGCACCAAAAGCCTGCAACTCGGTGTCAGTTTTGCTGGTGGATATGTTGCTGGTGTGCTTTGTGCAATCGTGTCTCATCCTGCTGATAATCTTGTCTCTTTCCTGAACAATGCTAAAGGAGCAACAGTTGGTGATGTGAGTGTCAGACTTGGAGCCATTGTTGTGTAGTTGTTTCTAACAATATCTGTTCATCTGTTTATGTCAAGTTTCTTTAAATGCTATGTACCATGTAATGCAGGCGGTGAGTAAGCTTGGTTTGTGGGGTCTCTTCACCCGTGGTCTTCCCCTCCGTATTGTGATGATTGGAACTCTTACTGGTGCCCAATGGGGAATATATGATGCTTTCAAAGTCTTTGTTGGGCTGTAAGTTTACACAATTGCTATTATATGATAGGGTTCTACACTTTGTTATATGTTTCGTTATTTATATGATGTGCTGATGATCATTTCCTCAACTTCCCAGGCCAACAACGGGTGGTCCTGCTCCTGCCGCTGCTCCAGCTCCAGCTCCTGGTTCTGACCTAGCAAAGGCGTAAAATGTCCAGTGATGACCACTTAATAGTTTGTTTACGAAAGTTAGAAGGCAGTGAATAGGGACCATAAATAAACAGATGACTGAAGTTGCTTGGGTGGAACTCAAGCTTCGTTGGATAAATATTCTTTTCAAGTTCAGACATTGTTTCCATTTTATTGTATGAGTATGTCAAGTTTTTGGGAGGATGGTTTTGCTCGCATCCTTCCCGTTTTGAGAACTTTGTAGCTAGGAATGATATAATTTATAGCATGTTTGGTTCGCCACATGCCATTGCCAACCGGGAATACACATTTGTTTTGTTGTCAGTGCAATAAGCACAGACGCCTATGCAATGCCGAGATTGAGATAATTTTTATTGTTTGTTGCCTGGAAATTGTCAAATTACGTTTTATATTAATTCCATACCATACATAAACTCTTGCAATGATCGTTTCCAAACTAGATCCTGAAACAGTACTTTGTTGACTGGTTCTGTTGGCTAGTGCTAGATTTATTATATCTAGGGCCGTCAAGCCTAATTTTTTGGTAAAAACATGGAAAAGTAATTGGTCAAATTTGTCTGGTTGGGAAGATGGTTGAACAAAAGAAATTCGTTGGGGTTGTTGGCTTTCATTATTATTTTTCATGTTTTTACTATTATAGTAAGTAGTTTTAAGGTTTTGTTAAATTTTTATTGCAACAACTTTAAAATACCTTTTAATTTTAGAGGTGAAACGATTACGTAAAATTTTGTTATTTATTTTTCAAATCTAAATAATCAATAATTCTTTTTTTCCTATAACAAAAAGGTTTAATTGCAACGCATTGATAAATTATATTAGAATCACCAAGGAAATGCTCACGTATATTTCAACAATGTTCAGGGTCCGTCCATTTCACAAGTAGTGGTCGACTTCTACATTTATTATGAATTTGAATAGATATTCTAAGTAAAGAAGCTAGTTTTTCACAACATAGTAACTGAAGGTGTAAATTTTACTGGAAGACTTGTCAACATTTAGTACTTAACTAATTTATTGTGTCTGCAACATTATTGTCTTAAAGAAATGACGATATGACCTCAAAAACAAAATTACACGTCAAAGTTAATATATTGCAAAAACTAAGTTAATCTTATGAACGTTAGGTTAAAATTGATGAACATCGACCACTGTGTTATATGCCTTCGAAAATTAAGCATTAAAGAAACTCATTCCTTCAAAACTATGTAGACTCGTCTTAATCACTTGTAACCATCATTGTAACTCCACGACCATAAACTAGAGATTAAATCGGTATTTATGGAAAGTTAGACCATTCTTTTTGGTGTGCATAATCGGGTTGAATTCCTTCTCATAAGCATAAGACCAAAAAAAAAAATATTAACAAAAAATCTTTTCTTTTCAGCATCTTAATGAATGGATAATTTGCATTTCAATTCCTTTAGTACACTTCATAAGGAAAATCATTAATTGAATTCTAAATTGAAAGGTTTGTGTGAACTTATTGATACAATTATGCACTTCTCAAATGTACATTTATTTTCTAAAAGAACCTGGACTTTTGACTTGTTGGGTTTTCAAAGTAATTTTGATGACATTATGTAGAAAATATATTATTCATGTTAGAGAACTGTTAGGATATGGGGTGGAAGGGTATAATGGGTAATTGATTTAGGATAAAAGTAAAGAGCGGAAAAATTTGTTAGGCTGTTAGGGGGAGAAATAGAGTATAAATAAGACTTTTGGTAATTCTGTTGGAGGATTATTGAAGATTATTTTGTAAATCTGGACATTGGCCAGAAAAGGTGGATTAGGCCTCCATTAACACTATCAATGTACTTTGTTCTCAATTTCAATACATAAATCCATTCTTTCTTTGTTCTTTTGTTGACTGAGAGCGTTGATAGTTAGGTTTCCAACCCAGGAACCTAATCCAATGAATGGTCTAAAGCCAATTACGAACTCAAAAAAATATCAATTAACTCTATTATCCATGATTTGATGTGATGGTGGGATATGTTTAGGTAGTGTGCTATCTAAGAACGTGGGGATTGTAGTGTCGTTGTAAGGAGTAGTGTGTATGGTGTTCCTCCTAATATGCATAGAATATAATTTGACAGGAAACTTTTAAAGTGTTTTTAGTCATATAAATAATCTTTCAAAACATTAACAAAAATATATATTTAAATTGATAAGTTAAATATTTTTCCTAAAAATCTCACATCATCAAATTTTCTTTTCAAAAAGCTTTTATGGTAAACATTATTTTGTAGGTCCATTAATCATAATTTTTTATAAAAAAAACTATTTAATTATGACATAAAAAATATTGAATTAGAATAAATTTAAATCTTACAAAAACTATTGAATATATTAAATTTGTAGAGGTTAATGAAAATATACTTAGAACAGTTGGAGTTGTAGAATTGATAAACATTGTAGATCAATACTAGTAACAATTTCAAAAGATTCTATATGACAGACTCTACTAGTCATGCTTATGACTTTTGGAGGAATATATAATTGTATAGGTTGTTATCTTGTAATCACTAATACTTACTTAAAGTCATTGAAGAGAAAATATTTTGAATGGATAACTTTTACTATTTTAGAAGAGTATTTCTTCCTACACCTTTCTTTTTTATATTTCCAACTGTACTTCTGTCAGAGAATCTATTGTTTTTAAAAAAGCTGACCCATTCAATAATAAAAATTAGGGTTAAATATGTTTTTAGTCCCTAAACTATTGGCCGTTTCTGGTTTTCGTCCCTCTTTCAAAATAAGGTACAATTTGGTCCTCATTCTTTTCGAAACTTTAATTTTAGTCCTCGAAACTTTAATTTTAGTCCTCGAAACTTTAGTTTTAGTCCTCGAAACTTTGATTTTAGTCCTCGAAAACTAACCTCGAAAACTACCACATTTTTAACGATGTTAGTTTTCGAGGACTAAAACCAAAATTTTGAAAAGAATGAGGACCAAATTGTACCTTATTTTGAAAGAGGGACGAAAACCAGAAACGACCAATAGTTTAGGGACTAAAAACATATTTAACCCTAAAAATTAACCAACAACCCTTCCTCCTCTGCCGCATTTCAGATTTGCAAATCTTACACCCCATTTCTCCTCCCTTCCTCCTCTTTGCCGCATTTCATATATAAAAGTCTACACCCCTTTCTTTCTCCTCTCTTCTAGCGCTCCTCCCCTCTTCCCTCATTTTTGACCATTTCTTTTTAAGGTCTTCACACTGAGTGCTCCTTCCCTCCTCTCGTCCTCCCTGGTTCGGTGGTTGTGTGGTGTTGGTGTCGTGGTAAGCTGTAGTAGGGGTAGTTCTTCTTCTCACACATTTCACATCAAGCTTTGTTTGGCGTCCAAGTTGGTTCTTGGTTGTGATTTCCTTTTGTATGATATAGTATATGATGCATGATGGATGATTGTAGTGTGAAAAAATGCTTGATCTGGGCTTGTGCATGAGACGAAGTCGGAGGCCTTAACCGCATTGGAATTGTAGTTAAGGCCCCGCCGCACTTGGAAGTGCGCTTGAGGGGGGTGCCGCAGTTGGAGATGGGGATGATGGGAGGCGCACTTGGAGCTTCGGTTGGTGTTTACCGTAGTTGGAATTGCGGTTTAGGCTTTCTTTTTATTGCTTTCTTTTTTTGCTTTATTATGTTAGTATATTAAATTTATTTTTGTTAATATTTTATATATTTTTTGTTTAATATTTTATATTTATATATTATGTAATTTTAATTTTTATGTTATTTTTTATTGTTAAATAATATTTAATATGTTTTCGGAGTATCTTTTGATTTTTTTTATTTGTTTGTTAATTTTTTTTGAATTTGTTGTTTTTTTATAATTTTAAATTTTTTATATATTATTTATTATGTATATTTTTTTGTTTAATTTTATTTATTTGTTTTTGAATTTGTAATTTTGATTAAATTATTTATTTAATTAAATAATAATTATTATCCCTAAATTTTTGTTTTTTACCAATTATTTTGTTTCTTAATTTTTTTTATAATTTTTAATGTTTTGGTTATAATTTGTAATTATTTAAGTATTATTTATTAAGTAATTTTTGTTGTTATTTTTTTATTATTTTATTATTAATTTTTTATTTTTGATTATTTATTATTTGTTTCAATTTTTATTATTATGTAATTATTTCTTTTTTATATATATAATTGGTTAATAGAAACGGTCATAATTAGATGTGCATCATCTTCTTGTCATGAGAATTCATCTTCTCTTAGTGAGCCTTCATCTTCATCACATGATGAAAGGAGACGACCTACGACATTTGCTCATAGAAGACGTGTAGAAGGACATCATTCATGAGCATGAGCATGAGGAGTAGGACATGTTTGTATAGTAGGGATATGGTGGGGATGACTATGTTGAGCAGAAGGATGTTCAGCACCAGGATGACTATAGTGAGGAAGAAGATGAAGATGAAGATGGTGGATCCCAAGAGATCAACATCACACCTCCTTGCTTACCCATTATACCCATCACGTTGCATTTGTCATATGCCAAGGCCATGTTAGTCATTAACCTAAATGTTAATTGTTCACTATTTGTTAATTTACTTTTGTTATATAATTTTGTATTTTTATGTAGGATCGAAGGGAGATCAAGGTGATCTCTCTTGGGAAAAAACTAAAATATTTTGGAATGTACCATGAGGCTATTGAGCCTTATATCTCCATGTCGGGGTTGGCTTCCTTAGTGAACCTATCATACGAATATGCCGATCATAGATTGATCGTTGCCCTTTCAAAGAGGTGGCACCCGGAGACGAATACTTTCCACCTCCTGGTAGGTGAGATAAGCGTCACATTAGATGACGTTCTCAATCTGCTCCACCTACCTATCATGGGTCAATTTTGTTAGGCTGAGATGAAACGATCACGTAGTCCAAAAGTTAGGCTGGGCTGGCTTCGGGAGGTCTATCAGGAGTGCATTGAGCAGGAGCTTTGGGAGTGCGCTACTCGGGCCTACTTGTTGCATCTACTTGGATGCACAATTTTTATAAATAAGAGTGACACTCTGATTCGAGTCTCGTACCTCCTTCTCTTGCGAGGCTTGAATGCCTGTGTGAGATATGCTTGGGGAGTAACGACACTGGCACATACTTATGAGCAGTTAGGAGATGCTAGCTTCACTAGGTCAGGCAGATAGTTGGATATTCTACTATTCTACAAGTACATTTTAGTTTTAGAAATTTATTTTAATATATTTTAGGAATGAACAAAACAATTTAAATAATGTTTTTTGTAGAGTTGGATATATGAGCATCTTCTTGGCATGAGAAGGAGGCAAGTGTCAGGGAGGTACAAAAACCTCGATCCACGGGCTTCATGATATATACCTTCAAGGCAGGGTTGAAGTTTGACGGAGGGGCGAACATATCTGGATGCCCTCACTTATTGTGCANTAGCAAAGGCGTAAAATGTCCAGTGATGACCACTTAATAGTTTGTTTACGAAAGTTAGAAGGCAGTGAATAGGGACCATAAATAAACAGATGACTGAAGTTGCTTGGGTGGAACTCAAGCTTCGTTGGATAAATATTCTTTTCAAGTTCAGACATTGTTTCCATTTTATTGTATGAGTATGTCAAGTTTTTGGGAGGATGGTTTTGCTCGCATCCTTCCCGTTTTGAGAACTTTGTAGCTAGGAATGATATAATTTATAGCATGTTTGGTTCGCCACATGCCATTGCCAACCGGGAATACACATTTGTTTTGTTGTCAGTGCAATAAGCACAGACGCCTATGCAATGCCGAGATTGAGATAATTTTTATTGTTTGTTGCCTGGAAATTGTCAAATTACGTTTTATATTAATTCCATACCATACATAAACTCTTGCAATGATCGTTTCCAAACTAGATCCTGAAACAGTACTTTGTTGACTGGTTCTGTTGGCTAGTGCTAGATTTATTATATCTAGGGCCGTCAAGCCTAATTTTTTGGTAAAAACATGGAAAAGTAATTGGTCAAATTTGTCTGGTTGGGAAGATGGTTGAACAAAAGAAATTCGTTGGGGTTGTTGGCTTTCATTATTATTTTTCATGTTTTTACTATTATAGTAAGTAGTTTTAAGGTTTTGTTAAATTTTTATTGCAACAACTTTAAAATACCTTTTAATTTTAGAGGTGAAACGATTACGTAAAATTTTGTTATTTATTTTTCAAATCTAAATAATCAATAATTCTTTTTTTCCTATAACAAAAAGGTTTAATTGCAACGCATTGATAAATTATATTAGAATCACCAAGGAAATGCTCACGTATATTTCAACAATGTTCAGGGTCCGTCCATTTCACAAGTAGTGGTCGACTTCTACATTTATTATGAATTTGAATAGATATTCTAAGTAAAGAAGCTAGTTTTTCACAACATAGTAACTGAAGGTGTAAATTTTACTGGAAGACTTGTCAACATTTAGTACTTAACTAATTTATTGTGTCTGCAACATTATTGTCTTAAAGAAATGACGATATGACCTCAAAAACAAAATTACACGTCAAAGTTAATATATTGCAAAAACTAAGTTAATCTTATGAACGTTAGGTTAAAATTGATGAACATCGACCACTGTGTTATATGCCTTCGAAAATTAAGCATTAAAGAAACTCATTCCTTCAAAACTATGTAGACTCGTCTTAATCACTTGTAACCATCATTGTAACTCCACGACCATAAACTAGAGATTAAATCGGTATTTATGGAAAGTTAGACCATTCTTTTTGGTGTGCATAATCGGGTTGAATTCCTTCTCATAAGCATAAGACCAAAAAAAAAAATATTAACAAAAAATCTTTTCTTTTCAGCATCTTAATGAATGGATAATTTGCATTTCAATTCCTTTAGTACACTTCATAAGGAAAATCATTAATTGAATTCTAAATTGAAAGGTTTGTGTGAACTTATTGATACAATTATGCACTTCTCAAATGTACATTTATTTTCTAAAAGAACCTGGACTTTTGACTTGTTGGGTTTTCAAAGTAATTTTGATGACATTATGTAGAAAATATATTATTCATGTTAGAGAACTGTTAGGATATGGGGTGGAAGGGTATAATGGGTAATTGATTTAGGATAAAAGTAAAGAGCGGAAAAATTTGTTAGGCTGTTAGGGGGAGAAATAGAGTATAAATAAGACTTTTGGTAATTCTGTTGGAGGATTATTGAAGATTATTTTGTAAATCTGGACATTGGCCAGAAAAGGTGGATTAGGCCTCCATTAACACTATCAATGTACTTTGTTCTCAATTTCAATACATAAATCCATTCTTTCTTTGTTCTTTTGTTGACTGAGAGCGTTGATAGTTAGGTTTCCAACCCAGGAACCTAATCCAATGAATGGTCTAAAGCCAATTACGAACTCAAAAAAATATCAATTAACTCTATTATCCATGATTTGATGTGATGGTGGGATATGTTTAGGTAGTGTGCTATCTAAGAACGTGGGGATTGTAGTGTCGTTGTAAGGAGTAGTGTGTATGGTGTTCCTCCTAATATGCATAGAATATAATTTGACAGGAAACTTTTAAAGTGTTTTTAGTCATATAAATAATCTTTCAAAACATTAACAAAAATATATATTTAAATTGATAAGTTAAATATTTTTCCTAAAAATCTCACATCATCAAATTTTCTTTTCAAAAAGCTTTTATGGTAAACATTATTTTGTAGGTCCATTAATCATAATTTTTTATAAAAAAAACTATTTAATTATGACATAAAAAATATTGAATTAGAATAAATTTAAATCTTACAAAAACTATTGAATATATTAAATTTGTAGAGGTTAATGAAAATATACTTAGAACAGTTGGAGTTGTAGAATTGATAAACATTGTAGATCAATACTAGTAACAATTTCAAAAGATTCTATATGACAGACTCTACTAGTCATGCTTATGACTTTTGGAGGAATATATAATTGTATAGGTTGTTATCTTGTAATCACTAATACTTACTTAAAGTCATTGAAGAGAAAATATTTTGAATGGATAACTTTTACTATTTTAGAAGAGTATTTCTTCCTACACCTTTCTTTTTTATATTTCCAACTGTACTTCTGTCAGAGAATCTATTGTTTTTAAAAAAGCTGACCCATTCAATAATAAAAATTAGGGTTAAATATGTTTTTAGTCCCTAAACTATTGGCCGTTTCTGGTTTTCGTCCCTCTTTCAAAATAAGGTACAATTTGGTCCTCATTCTTTTCGAAACTTTAATTTTAGTCCTCGAAACTTTAATTTTAGTCCTCGAAACTTTAGTTTTAGTCCTCGAAACTTTGATTTTAGTCCTCGAAAACTAACCTCGAAAACTACCACATTTTTAACGATGTTAGTTTTCGAGGACTAAAACCAAAATTTTGAAAAGAATGAGGACCAAATTGTACCTTATTTTGAAAGAGGGACGAAAACCAGAAACGACCAATAGTTTAGGGACTAAAAACATATTTAACCCTAAAAATTAACCAACAACCCTTCCTCCTCTGCCGCATTTCAGATTTGCAAATCTTACACCCCATTTCTCCTCCCTTCCTCCTCTTTGCCGCATTTCATATATAAAAGTCTACACCCCTTTCTTTCTCCTCTCTTCTAGCGCTCCTCCCCTCTTCCCTCATTTTTGACCATTTCTTTTTAAGGTCTTCACACTGAGTGCTCCTTCCCTCCTCTCGTCCTCCCTGGTTCGGTGGTTGTGTGGTGTTGGTGTCGTGGTAAGCTGTAGTAGGGGTAGTTCTTCTTCTCACACATTTCACATCAAGCTTTGTTTGGCGTCCAAGTTGGTTCTTGGTTGTGATTTCCTTTTGTATGATATAGTATATGATGCATGATGGATGATTGTAGTGTGAAAAAATGCTTGATCTGGGCTTGTGCATGAGACGAAGTCGGAGGCCTTAACCGCATTGGAATTGTAGTTAAGGCCCCGCCGCACTTGGAAGTGCGCTTGAGGGGGGTGCCGCAGTTGGAGATGGGGATGATGGGAGGCGCACTTGGAGCTTCGGTTGGTGTTTACCGTAGTTGGAATTGCGGTTTAGGCTTTCTTTTTATTGCTTTCTTTTTTTGCTTTATTATGTTAGTATATTAAATTTATTTTTGTTAATATTTTATATATTTTTTGTTTAATATTTTATATTTATATATTATGTAATTTTAATTTTTATGTTATTTTTTATTGTTAAATAATATTTAATATGTTTTCGGAGTATCTTTTGATTTTTTTTATTTGTTTGTTAATTTTTTTTGAATTTGTTGTTTTTTTATAATTTTAAATTTTTTATATATTATTTATTATGTATATTTTTTTGTTTAATTTTATTTATTTGTTTTTGAATTTGTAATTTTGATTAAATTATTTATTTAATTAAATAATAATTATTATCCCTAAATTTTTGTTTTTTACCAATTATTTTGTTTCTTAATTTTTTTTATAATTTTTAATGTTTTGGTTATAATTTGTAATTATTTAAGTATTATTTATTAAGTAATTTTTGTTGTTATTTTTTTATTATTTTATTATTAATTTTTTATTTTTGATTATTTATTATTTGTTTCAATTTTTATTATTATGTAATTATTTCTTTTTTATATATATAATTGGTTAATAGAAACGGTCATAATTAGATGTGCATCATCTTCTTGTCATGAGAATTCATCTTCTCGTAGTGAGCCTTCATCTTCATCACATGATGAAAGGAGACGACCTACGACATTTGCTCATAGAAGACGTGTAGAAGGACATCATTCATGAGCATGAGCATGAGGAGTAGGACATGTTTGTATAGTAGGGATATGGTGGGGATGACTATGTTGAGCAGAAGGATGTTCAGCACCAGGATGACTATAGTGAGGAAGAAGATGAAGATGAAGATGGTGGATCCCAAGAGATCAACATCACACCTCCTTGCTTACCCATTATACCCATCACGTTGCATTTGTCATATGCCAAGGCCATGTTAGTCATTAACCTAAATGTTAATTGTTCACTATTTGTTAATTTACTTTTGTTATATAATTTTGTATTTTTATGTAGGATCGAAGGGAGATCAAGGTGATCTCTCTTGGGAAAAAACTAAAATATTTTGGAATGTACCATGAGGCTATTGAGCCTTATATCTCCATGTCGGGGTTGGCTTCCTTAGTGAACCTATCATACGAATATGCCGATCATAGATTGATCGTTGCCCTTTCAAAGAGGTGGCACCCGGAGACGAATACTTTCCACCTCCTGGTAGGTGAGATAAGCGTCACATTAGATGACGTTCTCAATCTGCTCCACCTACCTATCATGGGTCAATTTTGTTAGGCTGAGATGAAACGATCACGTAGTCCAAAAGTTAGGCTGGGCTGGCTTCGGGAGGTCTATCAGGAGTGCATTGAGCAGGAGCTTTGGGAGTGCGCTACTCGGGCCTACTTGTTGCATCTACTTGGATGCACAATTTTTATAAATAAGAGTGACACTCTGATTCGAGTCTCGTACCTCCTTCTCTTGCGAGGCTTGAATGCCTGTGTGAGATATGCTTGGGGAGTAACGACACTGGCACATACTTATGAGCAGTTAGGAGATGCTAGCTTCACTAGGTCAGGCAGATAGTTGGATATTCTACTATTCTACAAGTACATTTTAGTTTTAGAAATTTATTTTAATATATTTTAGGAATGAACAAAACAATTTAAATAATGTTTTTTGTAGAGTTGGATATATGAGCATCTTCTTGGCATGAGAAGGAGGCAAGTGTCAGGGAGGTACAAAAACCTCGATCCACGGGCTTCATGATATATAC